TGGATTCCTTGTCAATGACATGGGCTCTTGCTGGGATGTCCTCTAAGGCTGTTACTGCCTTTTAAGCCAGGACACCCCCAAATCTGCACTGTACCTTTTCATCCCTGCCACCAGCTTCAGCGCCATCTGGACTCACTCCACCATCCTTGCTTCCTGGTCCCACCGCCTCTGCTGAGGGAACCCATCTTTCTCAGGGGGTTTTCACTGGTGGGTGGGGTGTCCCTATGCTCCTGATCCCCCCTCCCCAGGTACGCACTGAAGTAGAGGGAACGCTGTTGTGGCCTAGGGCCTGTGAGGAAGCTCTCAGACACACGACACACCCGAGTGTGAGGATGAAGCAGTTATATTGCATGTTAGTCTTCTTAACCAATAACTTAGTGTTTTAGGGATGTTAGGTGTCTTTTCCCGGAGGCAAGATTCTATTTACAATCCTGCATCTAGCATTGCTCAGTAAACTCACAGGAAGTTGATGTGAAGTCTTAGGATGAGAAGTGGATGTGAGTATTCAGGACTGGCTTTGCTGGAGCTGATTTCTACCAACAGGCTCAATCATAGTAACTCATACACACAGGCCACTGTTCCAAAGTCTCCTCCCGTTTGCCTATTGGCACCTCAGCCTGAGGAGTCCTCAAGCCAAAGTTCCCAGCCTGTATTCAATGAGCAGGAATATTCGCTGAGGCTCCAGAAGCACAAGGGCGTGGCCTGGTGTTGAGGGGAGAGCACAAAATGAGGACCCACCCCCCAGTTCAAACCTGCTCCCTGTGCCCTGGGAGCAAGGAGCTGGAACAAGTAGGGAAGGATTTAGAGATTCTCCAGCTGCCCCCAGGGTGGAGCTGGGACCCCTTCTTCCACCTTCTGGGCCACTAAGCAGTCACAGTTGACCTTTGGCTCTCATGTTCAACACCAGAACAGGGCTCGCTCTGCTTCAGGCTCATCTCCATAACCCTCTCCCAGCTGGGCTCACACCCCCATCACCACTGCCTGTGTCCGGCTATGAGGCTTGCTGATGTATGCAGTACAACCACATGCCCCAGCCCTAGTGCAGATCTGGGATGGATGGACAAACAGGTGGGTGGGTGGATGGAACAGGTGAATGGATGGATGGATGAGCAGCAGGATGGATGCATGTATTCATGGATGAATGAGTATATGCATGGCTGGATGGACCAAAGGATGCATGCATGCATGCATGGATATATGAGTGGTGTGTTAGACTCAGCACATGCTCCTTTTTTGCTTCCCTTCCTTCCCTGAAAAATACAGTCCTAAATCCATATGGTTCATCAAAGCAAGGTGCACATCTGCTGAGGGCAGGGTGTGGGGTAGCAGGACACAGAGGACCAAGGCCAGGGTGTCAGAGCCAGGCAGAGTGAAGAGGGCAACTCAGGGGAAGGGCAGCATCACTGGTGGAGATTTGAAGGAAGGAGTTAGAATGAACTCTGGGGTGTTAGATTGGAGTGGGCAGCATCAGGGGACTCAAAGTTTCAGATAGATGGGTAGTAGATGGATGGATAGATAGATGATAGATAGGTAAATAGATAATGGATAGATAGACAGATGATATATAATAGATGGATAGATAGATGACAGATGAAAATTGTACATGTATTCATGTGAGGGTACAAACACGTATCACCCAGCTCTATTTACCGAATCTAGGGGAAGTGACATTAGCAATAATCATATTTTGGCTTATAAATACCACTATCCACCATTTGGAAAAAAACAGAAATGGCTAAATCCAGGGCTGAGGCAAAAGAGATATAAGATGAATCTTCTTGACTGAAAAATATACACAACCTAAAAGTTGAGAGTGATGTTTTGTTCAGTGGACAAAACTGAGAACTTAAGCCTGGGACACAGCCTCTAAGATAGCTCAAAGAGATTCCTCTAAGAGGGAAGTAGGTGAACCAGGATATAGGCGTTTTTTGTAATGAAGACCAAGTAGTCAGAACATCAAAAGATTACCGAACATCTCAAGTTAAGGAGTTTAGTGCTTTTGTGTGGGAGGGGAGATACAAGAGTCTGGGTTCACTGATTGCTTTGATGTGCATCTCAGCTCTCTAGAGCCAGTATCCTGTGTTTTCTCATCCTGAGTCCACTCGGGGTATATCATTGGGAGGAGGCAGGTGGCTGCAGCAGCTGACTGCTAGATGGTGTTAGGGGGCATCCTGCTTTCATCCTGAGTTTCCTCAGGGCTCACTGTGGGAGCAGCTATAATGACTTATGGCTGCAACACCCTTTGTTTGCTGATGCAGCAGGCAGCATTTTTAGTTCACAACCTGGACCATCTTCTTGTGCTGAAAAGTAAGGATGTGCTCTAAATAGTGACAGGGGCTGTCACATGGCCACAGATCCCACTTGAAAGAGCTCCAATGACCAGGTGGGTACCTGAGCTTCAGAATAATCACACTGATGGGTTATTCAGTGGGTTTAGCCCACTGAATCAAATAAAAGCCCAGAATCCAGACTGATATCAATAAATGGTATCAAGACTTGGTGAGGAGTGGAATGTGTCTATAGGTTCCAAGTTCCTTCCCATAAAATGCTTATTAATTATGGATGGGAAGTGAGTAGCTCTGCAGGGGGAGCCTGGCTGATGGCCCCGAGAGGGATCCGGTCAACACCAGGCCACCCAACTGGACACCACTAAAAGGATGCCTCATAAGCCAATCTGCTCTGATTGTGAGAAAATACAAACCCAGACCACAGACATCAAGACTGCTGGAAGAAATATCAACAACCTCAGATATGCAGATGATACCACTCTAATGGCAGAAAGTAAAGAACTAAAGTGCTTCTTGATGAGGGTGAAAGAGGAGAGTGAACAAACTGACTTAAAACTCAACATTCAAAAAACTAAGATCATGGCATCTGGTCCCATCACTTCATGGCAAATAAAGAGAGAAAAAAGTGGAGACAGAGGCAGATTTTATTTTCTTGGGCTCCAAGATCACTGCAGATGGTGACTACAGTTATGAAATTAAAATACACTTGCTCCTTGGAAGAAAAGTTATGACCAACCTAGACAGCATATTAAAAAGCAACTTTGCCAACAAGAGTCCATCTAGTCAAAGCTGTGGTTTTTCCAGTAGTCATGTACAGATATGAGAGTTGGACCATAAAGAAGGCTAAGCACAGAATTGGTGCTTTCGAACTGTGGTGCTAGAGAAGACTTTTGAGAGTCCCTTGGACAGCAGGGAGATCAAAGCAGTCAATCCTAAAGGAAATCAACTCTGAATATTCATTGGAAGGACTGATGTTGAAACTGAAGCTCCAATACATTAGCCACCTGATGCGAAGACCCAACTCACTGGAAAAGACCCTGATGCTGGGAAAGATTGAGGGCAGGAGCAGAAGTGGGTGACAGAGGATGAGATGATTGAATGGCATCACTGACTCAATGGACATGAGTTTGCGCAAACTCCAGGAGATAGCAAAGGACAAGGAAGCCTTGCATGCTGCAGTCCATGGGATCACAAAGAGTCAGACACGACTTATTGACTAAACAACAATAAATGAACATTCTACACAATACCAGGCCTGTGGTCTTCCAAACAGCCCAGGTCCTAAAAGTCAAGTACCCTGAGGAATGTTCCAAACTGAAGACAGACAGCTAAAGAGACACTACAGATGAATACAGCACACTGTCCAGAGCTGGAACTTTTATTACAAAGGCATCGCTGGGGCAGCTGGCACGTAGTGACTAGGGTCTTTAACCGTAATCACATGCATCAGTGCATTAGTGATTAGATGAATTCAAGAATCTGATGGTTACACAGAAAAATGTATCATAGAAACGTAACCTTGTTCACAAGAAATGCACACAAAGTTCTACCAGGGAGATGGAATTTCAGACTGATAATTTACTTTCAAATGGTCCAGAAGGAAAAAAAATTATTTATATTATACAACTTTTTTGTGAGCTTTTTGGTATTGCCACTTTTTTAAGTATTAAAATAAAGTGTATTGAATCACCAAAAAAAAAAAAAAAAAGAACAGAAAAAACTATAGGTGCAATAACAACAAAACTCCAAGGTGATTGTGAGGCATCCCTGTGGATGCAAAGTCTTTGTTCTAGAAGCCACTCAAGCAGTTGACCACAAGCTATGCACATAGAGCCCTTCCCCCAGGCAGCCCCACCCTGGAATTCTCCAGCTGGTCACACTTGCTAACTCTGATCCCCACCTACTGCAGTCATCAGAGATCACCCTCAATTAATTCAGGGCACCCTCTACCTTCAGGTGCCCCAGAGGCCCCATCAAGCTGGGGGCACTGGCTCTCCCCTTTCATGCGTCTTCCCTTTGGGGTGGCCTGGTTGTTGAGGACATCAAGGCTTTAGTCCTCTGCCCATGTCCTAGAGTCCTGAGTGATGCAGATTTTGGAGCCTACTCTCTCCCTGAGCCTCAGACAAGAGCCAAGGGACAGACTGGGGAGAGTCCAAGTGGCTTGGTTGGGCAATCTGTCACTCCCTCCACTTCACTCAAGGAAGCTTTCTCACCACCCTCTTCCATCGGGGTATTCCCTAGGAAGGCCCACAGATCTTGGTAGCAGTGGTCCCACCAGCCCATCAAATGTACCCAGGCATACCTGCTGCCCTGAGGGTAAAGCTTCAGCCTAAGCTGCTGGATGTGGTCATGAGCCCACGGGGAGCCTCCATTCCTCCTCAGCCCCCCAGAGAACCAGCCCCCGTGTGGCCACGCACTCTGAGCAGGATACCTCTGCACCAGGGAGACTGCGACTTAAAGGGGGCTCACCTCCCACGTTGCCAGGTTCCCTGCCTCAGCTTCTCTCCTGAGCCCACCCAGCCAGGGTAGGGGTGGAGAGCTGGTCCAGTGGGCTTGCTGCCATCAAGTGGTATGGAGGGAGGCGGCCACAGATGACTTCAGAGGGCCGAGATGGCCAGGCTCCGTGCACGGAAGGGCCACAGTGGGGTGTTCTGTCCTCCGCGCTCCCTCCTGACTTGGTCCAGTGACAGGCTTGCTTCACTGTGTCCCCAGCATGGACAATGCCGAAGACCCTGTGTACGAGAGTCTGGAGGAGTTCCACGTTTTCGTCCTTGCCCACATATTAAGGAGACCCATCGTCGTCGTAGCGGATACGATGCTGAGGGACTCAGGTGGGGAAGGTAAGTTTACCCATAATGAAACAGATGTATTTTATTCATCACCCAGAAAGTGTAGCATCCCAAGTAAGGAAGAGACAGTTAAACATAACAGCTGAGCCTCCAGAAGGACACAGAACTTTACTTTGCCTGAACAAAGACTTTATTATTTCTCCTCGACTCCATGTTTCTTTTTCCTTCCCATGCAGGGGGGATTACTCTTCTTTTAACTTTTTTTTTTGGCCACACCACTCAACTTGTGGCATCTTAGTTCCCTAACCAGGGATTGAAACTGGGGCCTTGACAAGTAAAAGCCCAGAGTCCTAACCATTGAACTTTCAGGGAGTTCTGTGTTTTGACGGCGGGAGAAATCTGGCTAGGTAGGAGTCGGGATGAACCCCTAGGGGCTCCTGGCCCTGCCAGTTGCCCATGCCCTCCAGTAGTACCAGCCTTGTCCCAGGGCCACTCAGCCACCTGAGTCCCCTCCTGCCCCCATTACATGTTTTAAAGAAGAAACAAGAAAGGCATATAAGTGCAAAGTCACCCAAAAGGCTGTGATGGAACCAAAACTGGGGAAAAGGAGGAAGGGATGGAGGGCTTTCTAGGGCTGGTGCCTACTTCACAGCCTATCACACACACCCTGTCCCTCGGCCAGGCCAATACTTCCCAGGGTGGACACTGCCTCCCACTTTTTAGATGAGAAGCCCAAAGCCCAGAGAGGCCACACAATGTGACCCCTCCCTGGCTGAAGCCTTGGAGGAAGCAGGATCAACCCAGGGAGGGAGGGCTCCAGGCGCGTTCTCCCTCCAGCCTTTCAGCGAGAGCCCACAGGATACTGCGTGGGCTCTCTGAAGGGGAGGGACCAGAAGGGTCATGCCAGTGCAAGTGCCCTGCCTGTCATGGCTGGTATAACCACAGAGGGCAGGGGCCTGGGGCACACTGGTCACTTCCAGTGACACAGGCCCGCCAGGGTCCGCAGCTCTTGGGTCCCTATACTCGTCAGATCCCACAGGGCTGGGTCCACACCTCCTTCCCTTGTCCTGTAGCCCTTTCAAAGGTTGGACCCACCTTGCCTCTCAACAGAGAGAGAAGCCAGAAGCATAGTCACTGATATAGACGGAGCAAGGGTGGGGAGGAATCCTGAGCTCATCAAAGTCATCCCTGAGGTCAACTGTCCTTTCCTTCCACTCAGAGAAGGGCAGTGAGTCACTGATTCCAAGGCTAAGAGACAAGGTCCTTTGTGATTAAAAAGTAGAGGCCATATCAGGGCATGTATTTATCTCAGTAAGAATTTAGGCCTTTTCCTCCTTTGGGTAAGGAAATGAACAAGATTATGTCCTGGTTGCTGAAGGAGCCAATCCCCATCTCTCATTTCCCATCTTACTTACGACTTGGGCCTGGAGTGCTCTCACTGAGTTTCTCAAAACCTAGAACAGACAAGCTCTGGAGCAGCACGGGCGTATTTCTGTGCGCAGATGCTTTTGTGAACACAGGAAAACACAGGTTTCCAGGTAGCCATTAGTGCACGTCCTGGCTGACCACCTGAGCAGGCCTCAGGGCGCAGGCAGGCCCAGCAGGTCACAGCAGGTCCCCTCAGCCCCAGCCCTCTTGTGCCCAGGGTGCAGCCTGACAAGGCATGGGGACACAAGCCAGGACGACGCTGCCCAGGGAGGCAGGTTGGGGAGGGTGCCCTGGTCAGGCACAGGACTTGGGGGCTAATAAGCCTGGCCTCTGTGAGCCTGGGCTTCCTAATCAATTGTGGGCTCCCAGGGAGCTCCCGCTGGGTGGGAGGAGGCCCCTCTACTGTGGAGTGGATGATGGATGATGATAGCACCCGGGGCTGCAGCCTGAGCCCGCCCTCCATTCCCTCTGCCCTGTCACTTCCCCCGGGTTGGTGAGAGCTGCTGTCTGTGTCCCCTCCGCTCCACATGCCCTCCTCACCTTTGTCTGTGTCTGCAGCATTCGCTCCAATCCCCTTCGGAGGGATTTACCTGCCTTTGGAGGTACCTCCCAACAGATGCCACTGCTCACCTCTGGTTCTGGCCTACGACCAAGCTCATTTCTCTGCCCTTGTGTCCATGGAGCAGAGAGACCAGCAGAGAGAACAAGGTATGCCTGCTGCCACTTGACGGTGGCGCGGAACAGAAGGATCAGGAGGGCAGGAGGTGGAATGTGGAGCCCTCCCTTGAGAAGTGCACTCAGCAGTGATGGGTTTTGCCTAAAACTACCATATGCATGCAAAAAATATCATTGAAAATAATGCCATTTGCAGCAACATGGATGGAATGGATTCAGATGATTATTATCATAGATTATCATACCTAAAAAGCTTAGATTATCATACTAAGTGAAGTAAGTCAGAGTAAGACATATCATGTGATATCACTTACATGAGGAATCTAAAAAAAGATACAAATGAACTTATTTACAAAACAGAAACAGACTTACAGACACAGAAAACAAACTTATGGTCACCAAAGGGAGGAGTGGGGAAGTTTAAATTCGGATATACACACTACTATATATAAAATAAACAACAGGGACCTACTGTATAACACTATACTCAATATTTTCTAATAACCACTAAGGGCAAAGAATCTGAAAAAGAATATATATGACTGAATCACTTTAAAATATGAAGAAATTAATAATTCTGTCACCCTTATCTAGCCTTTACTGTGGTTCCCTTCACTTCTATTTTATATGGATGCAGTTAATCTCAGATGTAATTTTTAAAAGCTGTTCTAGTGCAATCACCTAACTATAGCTCACTTTCTTTGTAAATAAAGTTTTATTGGACCATAGGGACACTCATTCAAAGGCGAATTATCTGTGGCTACTGCTTTTGTACCCTAACAGCAGTTGAAAAGCAGTGTCAGAAACTGTGTGGCATGCAGAGACTAAACCATTCACTAATGAGCGCTTCATGAAAAATGTTCGCCAGCCTCTGCTCTGCAGTAAGCTTTTGAATCAAAAGATGGATATTTCCATTCAAATCATCACATGGGAGCTTCCTGTCATTTCAGTGCTGCAGAAAGTCTTACCAAGCTGGGCCCACAGGCTGTGCACTGCACAGTTCCAGCCACAGTCACACAGACTTGTGTGGGGCCAGTCTCTAGCCAGCACGTTTTGTGTCTGTTGTGGAGGTGGTGGGATTTTGTTTGAAATGTTAACTGCTGATGGATGTGTGATTAACTGAGCAATGAAGGAGGAACTCTTCCTTTTTCACTTCTGTGTCTGGTTAGACAGAGAACCCTCAGGGGACCAAAGGAAGGAAAGGCTGAGTGATTTCGGGGTCCCTGCCATTGGACATGGTCCCAGGAAATCCGTGTTGGCTCATCCCACGGTGATGTGAGTCCAGAAGGAAGGGAAGCAGGGCTGCAGCCGGCCAGGGGATACCACGTCCTTTTCCTGTGCTGTTTACAAACGTCTCACTTTAGCCACATTTAGGCCTTTTCTGTTGTCTCTCTGCATTTTGGCCAGTGAGAGCTGGCACCTTCCTCATGGCTTCCAGCTCTTCTTAAAGCTCACTGTGGCTCTTGGGAGATAAGAGGGCCCTCTCTCAGCCTCACCCTATCAGCAAGTGATTGAAAAGACCAAAAGACTGTCACTTAGAAGTCAGATGTTAGCCATGAATAGTAGGTCAGTGGCTCCTAACCTGGCAACTCAGAACTCTAGTCTTCTATTGAACTGTACAGAAAAAAATAAAAAAAAACTATAGAAGAAAGATGAAATAATAAAACCATTATATCAAGGTGAAACATTGTAGAAACAGCATATTGCATGTAAATTTTGGAGAATTTGAATAAAATTGGCTGTGTTTTATTTCAAAATTTAAAAATGAGGGCCCTTCCTCAGGACTGGGGGTCCAGGCCACTCATCCGGTCTCGCAGAGACTCTCTGGTGAGGGGAAGATCGTGGTCGCGGGGCTGGCGTCTCCAGCCACTGAGCAGGGCCTTCAGAGCCGAGTGCCCTCCTCACGGAAGGCACTGAGCTTTCGTTCAGGCCTTCCAGGTACTGCTTTTGGATGCTTTCCAGGCCAGTCTGAAGGTGCTCGTCAATAAAAGGACTAATGTAGAGGCGTTCCCACAGCTTAGCAGGGAGCGTTACAGAGGTAAGGGTGGTGTCACCTCTGAAAACCTGCTTTCCCATAAGGGGGCTCTGGTCCCAGCGTGGTGTCCGAGGGGCTGTGCCGTGGGCTCCTGCAGCGCCCCCTGCTGGCTCCCTCCTCGTAGCGGTGCGCTCCCTGCCTCCACGGTCTTCATGTGACCCGGGCTGCACATTGACCCACTCCGTTCTCACAGCCATTGCACAAGCAGAAGCACGTGTAAGTGGCTCCCACTGGCTGGGTAACCTCTGTGCTGCACATCAGGCCCTCACACATTGGGAGAGAACACGGATGCTCTGCAGACTCTGAGGCTTTAAGTATTGCTGCCAACATGTCGCCTGTGCCACCCTCGCTAGTGCGTGCTGGTAGACAAAACGGTGCTTCCTGCTCCTCCCGTTGGCCTGAAGTCCAGAGGTCCTACGTGCCTGGGGCTGAGGGTCCATTCAGTGAAGCACCTGTTGCTTGCAGGTTTGAAGGACCCAAAGATGAAGTGTCTTGCCTTGGGCCCTCACCACCTTGTAGAGGAGACAGGCAAGCCTACCAAACCACATTGCATACAAGCCACATTCTGTACCAGGAAGTATATGCCCCCAAACAGGCACGAGCTCCATTCAGGAGGAGAGTGATGATTCTAATTGGAAAGAATGGACAGATGGAGCTGAGCAAAAGTGCTATGCCAATGCAGGGATGTGGCTGGCATGTTGCTGGCGTGGCCCAGCAAGCACCTGTCATAGAGGCATGACGGCGTTGGGTCTGGGTGCTGCCACATCCTCACTGTGTGGCCCGAGGGGTGCCATGAGACCTCCCAGCCTGTCCCCTTCTCTGTTGTGCAGTAACACCCACCTCCCTGGGAGTGACCGCCTTCGCCTCCCCTTGTTCATCCTCATCACCCCCACCCCATCCTCTGCCCTTTCTCTTCCACCCATTTTCCCACTGGTCTCTTTCTAATTTGACATGTTTAAGGACCTCACCATTTAGTTGTGAAGTGACCACCAAGGGATAGTCCCTCCACACACTGAAGTTCTCAGTCACCCCTGGGAATGATACTGCCTGTCCCAGAATCAGGCCTGTCCCCTGATCCATACATGTTCCTTCGAAGATAAACCTAAAGGCCTCAGTTGGCCTCCTTCCTGGCCACCCAGTGTCTCCCTGAAAGGATTTGCTGTGGGCAGGAGGAGCAGAGCAGACACTGTCTGAGGAGCCATCACCAGAGGAAGCCTACCCCACAGGAACAGTGGGATACTGTCCTACCTTCTGGCTTGACATCAGAGATTGCCGGCGGCTTTCCACAAATACCAGATCCTAGCAATTCCACCATTGTTACCTGGTGGTTGGGGATAGTGGTGAGAAACTGAAAAAACATTAGGAATCTGCTTGGGGAACAGGCTTATCCTCTCTTTTCAGCCTTTATGAGGCCAAGAAAGTGGAAGCAACCACAGAAAGCCATGTGTTAGCACCCAAAAGATTACTCCAAATAGCATTAGGCAGCAAGGGTGTTTGCTGCTCTGCTTCTATAACAGGGAGTCCTGAGGCAGGTGGTCCAGGGCTGATGCATTAGCCCTAGACATCCTCAGGGACTCAGGCCCCAACCTCTCCCTGGTCCACCATCCTTATTGTCTGATTTCAGCCTCGTGGTTATAGAATAAATGCTGTAGCACCAGGCATCACATCCACACCCCAGGCTGGGCCAAATGGCTCTTTTCTTGAAACTTAGTCATTTTATTCGGGAAGACCACCTTCCTCCAGTACCTGTGCTGGCATCTTACTTATAAGGCTGAGCTCCACACTTGCAGTTTTCCAACTGCAGAGCAACCTGAGAAATGAGTGCATCAGAGGAAGGAGGGGGTGAGATGGTAGGTGGGGGTTCACTGAGTCAGCTCTGAATCGGGGAGAGAATGTGATGTTTCCAGGCAGTTGCATCTGGACTCTCCTGTTTATTTCACTGGCAATGACCACTTATCTCGGGAATGGCAAAAGTGGGGAAAAAAAAAAGGGGGGGTGTGGGGGGGTGTTCTTCAGATCCTCATCTGGAAATAAACCACATTAGCTATTAGGCTGTCAATTCCCTAAAAAGCGGTGGTGCATGAGGCTGTCAATGCTGTGCTACTTAGGAGAAAATCTAGTTTATTTAAGTGCATAAAGAAAAGCAGCCCTCCTCCCAGGCTATGCACTGCTTATGGATGTCAGGTTTGGGGCTGACCAGGTAAGGGTGGCACACGGGCCGGCCGTGCATCCCACCCATGGCTGTGCCCCCATAGGAGGAGGGGCAGGGACGGGGTGGGTGGTCCTACTGAGAGCCAGAGCCAGACTTGGCTCCTGGCGACTGACTTGATGGCGCATTCCCATGCCTCTGAGATCTAAATGCCACCAGGGAGTTTCACACTCAGAGGTTTTCTCTCCTAGAGCCCTGGGCTTAGGCCAAGACAACCTCCCCAAAGCAGGAGCCTTCTCATCCTGCTGAAGTGAGACCTCAGCCTGGTGAGGGGCTTCTCACTCCCTCCTTCCAGAAGGTCTCTAGCTCTGTACCTTGAGGCTGGGTTGCACTCTGCCCCCCAGGAGTTGCCCAGGAAGCTCTTTATAGACTCTGATATCACCACCCCTATAGCATCCTTGCCTACGAGGACCAAGGATGCTCAGTGAGAGGAAAGATAGTGAGGAAACCATCCTCCTCCTTCCTGCCCTTCCCTGCCGTGCCTCCCTCCATTCACAAGGCTCCCTGGTGATGGTTAGAACCCCTTTGACTTTGGCTGCATGTCACCAAAACCCAACTTGAGGTGGCTCAGGCAGTCAGGGGGCTGGTTCTCACATGTACTCAACAGTGTGGGGCAGGCAGGCACCCTGGGGCAGGTGGGACATTTCAGGAATGTCAGAGATGACCAGGTGACTCCGCCTCACCTGCAGCCTCCTCACCTTTTGTTCCAGACAAGCACCTGCCACCACCCCCAGCAGCAAGCAGGTTCTGTTTGGCCCCAAACTCCCATGTCTAAAAGGATAACCAGAT